AACTAATCCCAAAGATTCCTGCGGGTTCTCGGTGGTTCCGCATGCAAACAACGCTAACACAGTGAGTTACAAGTCTGCTCCGGGGAGCAGCATCGGGCATGGATCTGGGCCAAGACGCAAGGACTTGTGGGTGCGCAGGGCTCTTCTGAACGAACCAGGAGGATGCTGTTCCCAGCAGATGGCCCAGAAGCCTGAGAACACACTGCGCCTTCAGGATATGTGTGCGGGTGACAAGCCAGGCTGGGGCACAGGGCTACACGGAAAGCAGGTGTGTGCACAGAGACCCTCCCGAAGGACTCCACGGAGCCACGAGAGCAGTGACCTGGTGTGCACATGTGTGTAGCTAGCAGCTACACACATGTGCACGGGAAGAGGCACAGAGGGGAAGTCAGCTGATCATCAGCGTGGCAAATCCAAAGTCACCCACCAATCACACAGTGAGAAGATTCCCGGGACGTAATACAGTGGCAGTGTTGCTAGCCTTGGGACCTCTGCTTGCGGAAAGAACAATGCAATTTGTTAGAAGGTCATCATTTCACTGCCACCCTCACTAGCCTCTCAGGTACGCTGTGAGGTCTAGAGAAGAGATTATTGCTAAGCCTTGGTCACAGATACTGTGGCTGTACAGCATGACCTCACCAGAAGTTCCACAGATGGGGACTGGGGGACAGAAATTGCCCAGTGCCAACCACTCCAACCACTTGGCTTATACACCATGTGATGGCCAACGTCACCAGCTATCTGTGTGTGTGAATAGCCAACACTTTGCTCCCTGGGTTTCGAGGTCCACGAGCACTGAGATCAATTTGTATTCTCGCAGGCTTTGCCTCTTGTAAGAAGGACGACTACATACGCTGGCTAGAGGTGCTGGACCTGGTGGTGTCTCATTTCAAGGTCGCTGTAGGCCACACTAGTGAGACTGCACCTGCGCCTATAAATATGGGGTGGGTGACTCCTACAAGTGGGATCCCCATAGCTGTGCAGAAGGAGCAGAAGAGACCCTTCAAATTACATTTTGGGTAGCTAACTTCATAGCTCTGTGTGGTTCTGGAGAAAGATAACTTGTATTTTTCAACAGGTAGAATGGTTCTAAGGATGGGCATTCTTGGAAGTCCAAACAAAAGATAAACATCTTGGGGCTACAGCACACTTTTCACACAGCTCAAGACTGTTACATACCACGCTAGCCCCCCAGGCTAGGTGTCAGAAATGGTCATAACAGTTCAGATCATGAGGTGATGCACTAGGCTTCATTCTAGGCACTGCATGAGGTGTTTAATCTTCAAGACTTCGTAATGTGAGTGTTATACCTGCCTCACTTTCTCAGATGAGGATACAGAGCTGCAAATGTAATTTGGGGCTATATTCTCTAGACTGGTCCAAAGTTATTTCTCAAGTCTAAGTATTTGCCAAGCACAGTATTCACTGAGCGCCAAGAGTAGGCTGAGTGCTGGGCACAAAGCTGAGTTCATCCAGAGTCCTTGCTCCCAGCATGTCCTGTTCTAGAGGGAGAGAGGTGACTCCACAAGGAAGCCAGGATTAAACAGGACTCAGTGTGAGCTCTGTGCAGGGAACGAGCAGGATAAAGAGGCAAGATGGACCTCTCTGGGGAGACTGCACATCAGCTGAGTCCACGGGTATAAGACAGAGCTCTCAGAAGAGTGGTCCAGGCAGCAAGGTCCCAGTAGGGGTGGGGCTGGCGGCTGTGGCAGGCGGCAGGAGGGGTGTATTGAGGCTGGAGTGGGGGCATAGCCTGGTTCCCACCAGAAGGGCTAGTGAAGGGGCTTGGATTTTATTTCTACATTGAAGGGTATGACCAGGGAGGGAGGGGTAACCCTGGCACTCAAATGCTCACAGTGGTTGCTGAAGGGACGTGGGAACTGCCTGGCGGGACGACCAGGTGGCCGAGGTGTGGGCCAGGCTTGTGCAAGGAGAAGAGTCCAGACCCATCTCTGCTCTTGAGCTTCTTTCACAGGCACCTACAAATACACACGTGAAAACATGACCGAGAGCCCTGGGAAGGTCCAAGAGTCACTTTGACTCCGATAATCCTCTCCTCTGAAGGTGGCAGCTCCTTTGATTCCATTAACCATTCACAACTTCTTCGTGGTCTCCTTGCTTTGCCACCTCTGCCAGTCAGGGAGATGGCTTTTACTCGATGGTCAGTTGGCAGAAGGTTCTCCAACCTTGGTCTTCTCCCAAGCTTGCTCCCTACCGTGGGGCCTTTTCTTTTCCTCCTCCTACACGCTCACTCAGTTCTAAATAACAGTAAAGTTTAGAATTTCTACTTTACTACTGAATCCGTGTGGGCTAACAGAAATCCACCAGAGATAAGTCACAGTATGCATGTGCTAAAATCTCAACATGGGGTGCATCTTTTGGATTAGTCTTTACTTCTAAAGGTGGGTAAATTTATTATTAAAAAAAAAACAGCCCCTCTAAAAAGAGACATTTCCCTGTGGTTGGAAGCATCCCACAGAAATGCAGGCGCAGCTAACCAGGCACCCACCCCCCAGCACAGCAATCACAATCGGTTCCAGCTGTCAGTCTCCATGGAGACACGGGGGGTCTGCACTGCCACAGATCAGCTGGGTCCCTAGTCACTTTAGCGCTGCAGAGAGAGGAGGAAAAGCGCTCGCTTCAGTGACAGCCATGTGTACTGTAATATACTTCTTGCCCGCGAAGTGAGAGTAGGAACTCAGAAACAAGAGTGAGACTTGGATCTGTTTGCCTGCAAGATTGAAAGGCCCCCAAGCCGCCCTGTCTCAGAAGACTGGAGACTGACGTCCCGGGCAGCCTGGCCTCCTCCTCCATGGCCTTCCATTGTCCTGTTACAGCGATGCCAGGCTTCTCAGAGGATGCATTTATTAAGTAAGGAGGACATCGCCCCTTGTCTTCCATGACCATGACACCACCCCACGTCTCTTAAATGTGAGACAACTGTTCATTGATGGGGAAGGGGAATCCACAGGGGCTGATCAGTTTGAGCCAGATCAGCTCTTTGCTCCGAGGCTTACACACTCCAGGAGGCAGCCTGGGGTTTCTGCTCTGGGGGTGGAGAAAGCCTCAGGACTCTGAAGCCATCTCCATAGATCAGAATGTACAGATCTTCCTTACACCAAGATTCCTAGACTTCATAAAGGGTGACACAGACGCCAGTGAAGTAATCACTTCTGATAAAATTCTACCTGCATGCTCTAAATTAATGATTTCCCTCAAATGTGCTCTTTTGTGGAGCAGGTTTTAGTGAAGAACTACAGCTATAGGTTTACAGAGATTCAGGGTGGTAGACACTGAGTGTTTCACAAACCTTTGCTCAGAACAAACATTCTTGCACATGGCACTGTTGTTCCTACTTTGCAGACAGGGGAAATACTGTCTTTACTTGTGCAAGACCATGATTGGGGTAAAACTAGAATGTAGAACCATCTGGGTCACCACAGAGAGAGGAACAGGAGCCTGGCCAGTTACCCAATGGTGTGTACGCAACAGGGCTGAGGGTGCCTCGCTTACCGTGAGTCAGCGTCCCACCAGCTTCCTGGGGCTGTCGGGGGTGGTGGTGGTGGTCCTAGCCCCAGCTCAGAATTCCCCAGCAACGCTCTGGTCTGAACTGAACCCGCCACCCCTCCTGGGCTTCTACAGCTAAGTGTACCAATGCCCGGAGGTGCAGTGATCCGGACACTTTTTAAGAGAGCTGGAGACGGGGGAAGGAGAGCCCCAGGTGTTCTGACCCCAGCCCTCTGCTCCTGAGGTTCACCGAGGCCCTTAGGTGTCACAGGTGCTGGGAACAGAAATCATAGTGGCAGCTACTTCAACTGGGTCCTTGCAGGCTAGAGACCAGTGTTCGCTAGAATGACTGCATTTAACCTTCAGAACTGCAAGCCGCAGGTGGGTGAGTAAACAGAGGCCAGCCGGAGTTTCCTCTCTCACCCACCAGGCTGTGTGAACATCCCTGGGATTCAACGTGAGCAGCCGCCAAGTAGAAGGGAGCCCCATTCCTGCTCTGTTCATTCCTCCTCCTTTGCTTTTGCCCAGATCTAGTTCTCTCCACTCAGTCTCAACCACTTGCGTTTTCTTCTCCCCACAAGTCCTCCCTTGCAATCCTCATGCATGAATTAGTAGCAGGAACAGCACGATTTCTCCACCCAAGGAGATGTATGTGCTTGCTATGAAGGGAATCCCGCCAGGGAACATTCACGCGGAATTAGGCGTTCAGCATGCGCCCAGGGAGCAGGGGGCCTGGCTGCCCGGACTCATACTGCTCAGCAGCACGACGGCCCCCTTTCATGTAGATTCTACACAGTTATAAACACACAGCCACAACTTCTGTGAGCATCTGCATCAGGGGCTACTATGGAGATGACTGTTGCTTTTCTAATAATGCCAGTAGAGTTAGGCAGGGATTAAGACAGCTAACCTTCTGATGAGATGTAGATGCAGAAAGTTTAAGCATGACTCAGGAGAACTTGTTTCTTTTGCACTTTATTTAGGAAAATAATAGAGTAAAAGTAATTGTAAAAACTTTCTGATCTCCCAAACTTTTTTTTTTTTTTTTTGGAGATAGGGTCTCCCTATGTAGTTTAGCCTAGCCTTGAACTCACAGGGATCCTCCTGCCTCAGCCTCCCGAGTACTGGGATTACAGGCATACACTACCATGCCTGGCCCTCTCCCAGACTTTTAAAAAAGTTATTATTATTATTATTTATTATTATTTTTTTTGGTGGAACTGGGGATTGAACCCAGGCCCTTGTGCTTGCCAGGCAAGTGCTTATTCTACTGAGCTATCTCCCTGGCCCACTCTCCCAGACTTTTTTTTTTTTTCTGATACGAAGTATCAAACTTGGGACCTTGCACTTGCTAGGCAGGCACTTAAGCCACTGAGCTATCTCCCCAGCCCCCACTCCCAGACTTTTAACATAAAATACAAACACAGATGCTGAGGTCTTCCCTAGTGGAGTCCCCTGTGATGGCAGTAAAGAGAAGCTATTTTCGATCTTACCTGGGAAGAGCAGTGATTTTCCCCCACTTCTCCACACAGAACCTTCTGGGGCCATTGCTGCCCCGCAGAGAAGCGAATCCTTCGTAGGGAATGCTGGACGTGCCCGTGACAAACTGGGGACCAAGAGGAGAGGAGAAAGTGAAGGCGGGGACACCATGTCCCTGAGCATGGCACTCTCAGAAAACCTGTGCCCAGGTGTGGCTCAACCCAAGTGCCAGTACACTGGTAGACAGGGAGAGTGCGTGGCATGTACAGAGGGGTCAGGAAGGTTTACGGGAAATGAAGAACCCTCGAGGCTGGCCCACTCAGTTGCTCTGCTGGGTACACAGGGGGGTGAATAAAGTGAGGGTGCAGATTAGTTCATGTCCACTCAGCCTCTGCCCTCCAGCAACTCCCAGTGAATTTTTAAAAGCCTGAGTTTCTCAGTCTGCAGATCTGAGGTCCAGACCCTTAGCCAGAGGAGCTCATGCCTGGTCTCCTCTAAAGGCTCTGCCAAGAACCAGAGAGGCCTCCTCATGGCTGATACTTGTGCATCCAACTAGCAAGTGCCCTGCATGACCAGAAATATGCCGTAAAAGGAATGAGTGATTTTCCCAATGTTGTTACACATCATTGATTCCCAGTTCGTGGAAATCAGATGAAGGGGCAGGAAAGAACCAGAACCCTTGGAGCACTGAACATCACCGCCTCTGCTGCTAGAGATCCTGGCTGCGGAGGATGCTGAGTCTCTTGCGGGAGGACCTGACCGTCCTAAGGGCAGATACTGCACTGGACTAGGTGCTGCATCCCCTCCGGAAGTGCCTGGACCTAACCAGGTGTTCACAGCTACGGGGTCACATCACTAAGGGACTGCGGGGCACAAGAGTGTTGGGTCCCTCATTTCCTGATAAACCTGGCATGTGTTTATGGAGGTGTCTATCTAACATAAACACTTCCAATAATAACATTATTGCATGGAAGGGGTTCCCGGTAACCTCTTACCTGCAGCAACCGGAGGCGCTGCTCATTGTTGAACCTTTCTACAGCAGCCCAGAACCACCGGATGACGATGTGATTGTCGTGGTACCCTGGTGAATCAACGGGGAGAGCCCTGGTTACCCCAGTCTTCTCTCTTAGCCCCCAAAGGGACATCACAAAAGACACCCCAGACAGAAAGCATCAGCTTGAATGCTTTAAAGACTGTTTACAATTTAAGACTAAGGAACAGCAGCACAAATATGATCCTATGAATGTAAGAAGTTAAATGAAAACAGCACTAAAGGCAACCACGAGGTCTCTGTTGCTATGCAGCGGTCACCGAAGGAAAAGTGGTGGCGAGCAGGAGAACAAATGGCTTCCATGGCTGTGTCGGCCTAAGAAGTGTAGTGTGGCTACGAGAAATATGTCACTCGTCTGGTCACTCATGTCAGGGTTAGTGTTTGAGACCACTGTGGCCACCATGGTGCTGAGCTTGGGGGAACCCAGGCAAAGAAAGAGAGAAAGAGAGCCTCTCTGGATGGTGCACAGGAAAGACACGCTAATCAGGTAATTTTCACACACAAATACAGAATTGAAAGATCTGTGAAAGTCTACACGTAACATTCATATTTTAAAACCAAAGTACTTTCATACTGATTTATTCAGGACAAGGGAAAAGTGACCTTTAAGTCCCTCATGCATTAATTCTAACATCATCAACCAGATTTACTTTTGTTCCATAGTTCAGCAAAACTGAATAAAGCGCCAGAAGGCTCACCTTGCAGGTGCGTTAAGGCAGTAGCTGCGGGTCCTAAGGCCTTTCTGTGGAAGTTCAGTTCTGAGAGACAGCTGGCTAGGGTTAAAGGCAAGCCACTGGCTAGTCATACCTCATGCTCAGAAAACATGCTTTAATTCCGAGTCAGTGGCCAAAAGTAAGAAAGGATGGCAGAGCCCATCTTGCTGATAACTGTGGGACCTGAGGGCCGTCACCTTATGCGCCACCATTTCATCAAGAGCATTTGGTGCCCCTCAGGGAAGAAAGAGATCTGTGCGCTGGGTAATCAAAACTGGACTGGGCACAGTGACACAAGGGTTTGTGTCTAGGCTTTGGCCAAGACTAAAGGATCTGGTCCTGAGCGAGCGGTGCTTCTCTATGAAACACACGCACCAGGTGGTGTTTCGGAGCATTCAGGACTTCTGACCTTCAGGACGCCCTGCTGTCTGAGCTGAGCCTTAGTGGGAGGAAAAGACTGAAGGAGTCTTCTTGGCTGTTATCTGGTACTAAAGAGCGAGGCTAGCAGACCTGGCTGCCCCCTATCTGCTCCCAGGACGCTCACGTGATAAGGTTTACAACGCCTCAGCATCATCCTCAGTCGGTCAGACAGGGGGACACAGTTCCACACCAAATAAACACTAAAGCAGCTGGCTGGGCACCCTGTACTCCATCAGAATTTCCTGGGAGTGGAAGAAGGAGCAAACAACATTCATGGTAAAATGGGAGCTTTGGAGCACACAAAGAAATTATGTTAGTCTGGTTGCCAGAGTTATAAAAGCCAAAGCTATAGAGGGACTATGCATAGGGCCAAATGGGAAACTGCATCAGAAGAGCTTCAGGAACAGCAGCCATTGCAACTGCAGTTTCATACAGAGAAACACAGCAAGAGAGGCCCACCGTGCTGCCAGGGAGGCTGCCGGCGCCAGGCAGGGGCGAAAGCAAGAGTGATCGGGCAAGTGTTAAGCTACTGCTTTACTCCAGGCATGTACAGCTATTGTGGTTGTCGCCCCTGATCTGTTCCAACTCAGAGATCCCGGGAGACCTGTTCCACTATCACTGTATTCTGCAAAGTGATTGCACCTAGTGCAGGGCAGTGCATTTTTCTTTATCCAAGTTCAGAATGACTGCTAACCTCTTCTGTCCTGAGTTTAGAAATAAAACACAAACCTGAAAACAACTGGTACTTGTGATACATTTCTGAAGACTTTCTAATATGTAACAAATTCCCAGAAGGTGGGGTTTGTTTCCTTGCTTAAAATTATTAGACAAAACTAACCCTTGAGCACCATTAGGCACCAGATGTAGCAATGAAATTGCAACAACTTTCATCCTAGTCACTATTCAAAAATCCGTCCTTGTTCAATGCAATTCTATTTCTACAGCTTTTCACCCAAACTAATCAGCCTTTCAATGAAACCAAGCTCCTTTTCAGCTGACGTGACACTTGCATTACGTGGGCCTGGTGCCATGGACTCATTGAATTTTGAGAGCCGGGTCTTTCTCCTGTTGGGTGTCTCACTCTGACCTGCAAGAAGTCCACAGGCTGGAGGAGGCTGTCTGCAGGAGGCTGTGAGCGAAGCTTTAGAATGAAGGTGCACTGATGGGACAGGTGGCGTGGATGGGCTGGCTGTCAGCTCTAGAGTCGCAGCCACCTCACCATAAAATAACTCGTGAGTGTTCCTGTGGACACACTAGGTGCCAAACAATGAGGCACCAGGACACCCTGGGGCACTGCCCACATGGCCCTCCCCGCCTGAAGGAGGAGTGGCTGGGAGGGTAGGCATCTTCCTCGGCCAGCATCTTGGGGACGCTGCGTCAGACCTGCGCCTGGTGCACAAGGTGCCTGTGTGCCCTGCGCCCACACCGCACGCTGAGCTACACTGCCCTTCACCTGGAACCTGTAGCCCAGCACTGCCAAGTCAGCGCTCACCTCCTCTGTATTCCGTGTTGCTTCGCCAGTCGCTCAAGTCTATCTCAGCCGTGCCTGCTATGACCAGCTCCAGTTCGCGTGCATCAAACACGGAGACCAGCCGGGCATCCACCACCTGCGGGACGTGGAGAGCATGGGGCGTGCTGTGTCTCGGGAAAGGCAGATGGGGAAGGGCACGGGGAGCTTGGGGGCAATACGGTGCACCCGGAAGCATCTGAAATGCAGCAAGGTGCTCTGTAGATATGGGCGGGCGAGCGCGAAGTGGGTGAGATGGCCTCGGTGGTGTCCTCCAGGGCGTGGCTGTGCCTCCAGGGACACACCCGACTTCATCCACCTCAGAGGCCAAGTGGCTTAGTCCTCGGGTGGGAGAAGTCCTGCTTCATAATTGATCACTGATGACAATATGTGCTTTTCACTTTTGAAAAAAACTGTAGTGTTCCTCCTGAAAAAGTCACTTGGAAGACAAGTAACGGCTCACTCTAGCCCTCAGTTCTTTCATAGATGGAGCATGAGATTTGATTGCTGCAGGGAAGCAGGCGTTTGAGTCACGACATTACCGAGAGTCACGAAAGTATCAAATGCTAATTGCAACTGTGTCCTAAGATTCATTTCAGTGGCCTCTTATAACAAGGGGATTGAACATTCATGTGTGTGCTTTCGGAACAGCAAGAAAAGTTAAGAGTTTTGGAATTAAAAGAGCAACCACAGTAACTAGAGCACACACCAGGACCGGAATGGTCCACGCGTGGGAAGTGCTGTGGGGCCCAGTGCAGACCACAAGCCCCGCGCCCGCCGGCCGAGAGCTCACCTCGTAGAAGCCGCGCACCAGGCTCTCTGTCTGCTGCACCACGCCACGCTCGATGCGCCATTTCACCATCCTCTCGATGTACTCCTTCTTGTTCTTCTCCGTCACTGGGATATTGGCACCCCCTGGCTTTAGTTCCCGTTCAGTAATCTGATCAGAAAACAACACACTCATGGCACAATGCCGCTGCCCATGCCAGCCCATCCCTGGGGGAGCCAGCAGCCCCCAGGGAGCCTGCAGTCCACAAGGAGGCCCCACACTCAAGCTCGGGCACAGAGGCACCTAGGAAACACCCGCTGGAGCTGGAGTCAGCAGCCTGGAGGGCTCAGCATGGACTAGCGCAGTCAAGTGCTGCATAAATGCAGACACCCACTGCTGGCTGACAACACCCTTTCCACAGATTCCTAGACTTGGAATCAGCCATATCTGGACAGCCAATACTGCAGATTTACTTAAGCAAGCCCAACTGCAAGCAAGTGCATGTTAAATTGAGGACATACTTCTCAAAACACAAAGACTTTTGAAAAGAAGCCAAACATCAGTGCCCTGTAAGAACTAAGATCTCCTTGCTGAAAGAACTCTCTTAATCGGCCCTTCCACCAACTTTGAGATAAACCAGTTTAAGTTTTATTTTTAAGCCTTCTCCAAATTAAATAATATATTCCCTCAGTTTCAAAACAGTCAATTTCAGCCAGGGAGATGGCTCAGTGGAATAAGCGCTTCCCTGGCAAGCGCAAGGGCCTGGGTTCAATCCCTGGTTCCGTCAAAACAATCAATTTCAGTTCTGAAATCTGAATGAGAACTACATGCATATGGCAATTCAGCAACTTCATATGTAACACTGGGCGGCAGGGACTGTATTCTCCATAGGCACACAGTTACTAAACAGAAGGTACGTATCGTCATCTCTTGTGTGTACCTTGTTTGGAAGTTAAAGGAAGGTTATTTACAACATATAAAGACTTATCATAATTTATAAATGAGAACATCTTAATCTGCAGTTGACATCAGAATAATCCTTGTAACCAAAACTATTGTAATTGAATGTAACCCTGTGTTTGAATCACCCAATGAGCTGCACGTGAGTAAGCAACCGATCCAACCTATGGGATTCACTTTCCCCCGCTACAGCGGAGTGGCCACAGCCAGGAGCACCGGCGCACCCCACACAGACCTGCCCAAACACTTCCTCATTCACGGTGAACGTGAGGTCCAGGATGTCATGGATGTCGTTGTCCTTCATCCACTGCAGGCTCTGGTGGAACTCCTCATCCAGGTACTCGAGATCGCTCAGATCACACAGGCTGGAGTGACAGAGAGAGGCACACACAGGCACTCAGCGACGTGCAGAAACCCAGAGTTTTTGCAAAGGAACCCCAAATCAAGAAGAATAGGATCAACCTTTTCATAGTTACTAAGATCTTCTCAGGCAAGTTCAGTAAGCAATGGAATGAAGTAGTTCTCAAGTTTGTTGTCCATTTTAACATCCTGCCCATGGAAGGTGTCACAGGAGCCACTCAGTGCTCCCTGCTCTGCGTTCTGAGTGGCCGAGTGGCTGCTACGGACACCACCCCCCACAGCGGGTCCAAATGGAGCTTGGGGTGACAATTCGGATTCAGCATTCTTTTTGGCTATGTGGCACCACCTTAAAATATTGTTCTCCCAACTTGAAATTCTTTACATATTTTGGTACCTGGGTTTAATTCTGTTTTCTCCTTTTTTTAAAGACTAGATTCTGTGACTCATGTTCACAAACACGCCCTTCTCTTTGTAGTCCTTATTCTGCAGTTCTGAAGACAGTAAGCCAAAGAATCTCTCCACAATTACACTGACAGGCAGTGTTTCTTCCCTCCCTTTTTTTTTCATTGCATAGGCAGAATCTACCCGAGGTGGGGCCGCGATATCTGCCCTTTGCAAGGTGGCAGTAATTGATTTGCTATAGTTGTTTCGAAATTTCTCTCCCCCTCAGCTCAACTGTAAGGGTCATTTTGCTCAGTTCATTCTAACATTTGTCAGGCATCAAGGGTGTGTCAGACGCCTTCAAGACAACGTGACGAACATGATGTCCCTGCTCCTGAGAACACAGGCACACAGCAGAGAAGCGAGGATAAGGTGGTGAATGTGGACACAGCGCAGCAGTGCTTGTGTCCACATACTCTCTAAGGCGCCTCTATCTATAATGAAGGAAAGGTAGGTAGAGAGCCGTCGGTGTAGACACGGGGCTTTGCTCTGACTTGGGGACGGGGAAGTTGGGCACAGCAGATGATGCTCACAGGGCACCTTGTGGAACATTTAACAGGCAGAGGTAATTTAAAAAGGAAGAAACGGGAAGGAAGGAAAGGGGAACAAAAGACAGGAAAATAACCCGGACAAAATGCAAGGGCTGCGTGCAGAATTCTCCAAGTGGAGGCAGCATCAAGGCCAAAGCCAGGCCCACCTGCAGACATCGAGCTTGCGGGACCCTGAGGCTGCGGAGACGTGGGGCGTGGGCGCTGAGCGCCGCCCCGAGCAGCCTGAGGACTCAGACCTACTGAAGGAGCTCCAGTCAGGGGAGGGCACCTCAGATGCGACAGGTGCCACGCAGACAGGTCCCCAAGGCCCCGCGCAGAGGACCACTTAAAATGGAATAGAGGCTCGGTGACAGCCCGCTTCTGGGAGGACCTCTGGAGTGACTGTGAGATTCTGCAGCAGAATCGCGTTGTGGGTGTTGCCTTTTTCAGAGCCAGGATAATATAAAAAGTAGTCTGTATTTTTTTAAATCACAGTCTAACTCCGCACTTTATGACATGTTATAAAAGCTGAATGGCTCCTTTTGGTAAGGATATTTGTTTACAAGAGCCAGGAAACAACTCTTTGAAACTCACACTAACAGAGTTTCTTTTGATTGAAGATGGGAATAAAAAGATGAACCACAGGATATTTCCAGAAAGAATAAACCTGCTTAAAAGGCCATGACTCCGCTCTCAGGTGCGCATATTTTTTAATATCCTCGCAATTTAATACAAAAAGGAAGAAGGTTTTTCAGCCGCAATCTGCTTCAAGGAATTGCTTTTGTGCCTTTTTTTCATAGTTAAAATCAGTGCTGGGAATTAAGTTATAAAAATTTGAGAAAAAATACTACCCATAAGAAGGAACAAAGATGGCTAAACAATTCTTGCTCAGTGTGATCTATAAAGCAGTGGGGACCCCTGTAGACTGTCATACGCCAATAGAAATCTCCAAAGTGATAAAAACAAATAAACCAACCAACCACACCAGGGTTTTAACGAAAAGTGGGGAGAAGGTACACCTGAGGAATATCCAGAAAGCAAATGCAAAAACTCATCAATGCTTTTCCTGGGAAGGGACACAAAGAAGGGCAGCCGAGTAGGGGCAGCAGACAGGCCTGCATCACGGCCACCTGGCATTGATGGGCAGCCCTGGGGGCCGTGAGGGGAGCTGCCGGCCAGGGCACATGAGTTTGGTGGGAAAAACACCACAGACGACGTGCGAACTGTGCCCAAGGATGGGGGCCAAGGTGGGAAGGGAAAGACGTGTCCTGCGCACTTGCTGGCCCTGCGTAAGGGTCACTCCAACTTCTAACCCAGTGACCAAGGATACACACACCATTAATGTGTGCCTGGATGCCAGGGAAGACCTCATCTTAGATCCAGGAGAATGAGGAGTTCTGCTGCCACTGTGTGACGGGGAGGTCCCCGTGAGGCCCCCAAGTGGAGCGGACCACTGACCGCCCCAGCGTGCGACACGAGCCCTTGAGGCCGAGGCACAGACTAGGGGCTGTCTGGAAGTGAGGGAGAGGCAGGGGAGAACATGGGCAGGGCAGAGGCCAAGTCAGGGAGAAGTTCAGGCCCTCAAAGTTGTAGGGCCAGGGAGGTGGAGGAGAGGGTGAAGTCAAGGGAGAACTGGCGAGGCTGGGGAGCATCTATGCCTGGAGGAAAGAGTCAGGGAAAGCAGGCACAGGGAGGCACTCCACAGAGGGCCCAGGACAGGGCTGAAGCCGCCAGAGCTCCCGGCCTGAAGGCAGCAGGACCACGGTGTGCACAGTGTGCACCTGTAGCCTGCGGGAACGGCTGGTCAGGTTACTTTTCCAGGGTGTGGAGGTGCCAGTGGCCCAGAAGAACATGGCCCAGCAGGAACCGCAGCTGCAAAATCCCAAAAGGCAGGTGGGCAGAGGCAGGCAGACACCTCCGTGAGACCCCAGGGCCACCAGAGACAGCCTGCCTGCTTCGGGACAGGCTGATGCTTCTGTTTCACAGAAAGCAGGTCAGGAATGTGCGGGACACAAGTAAGCCAGGACTCAGGGCTTCCTGTCACCCTGAAGGCCACCTGCTCCTGCTCTGCCTGGCGAGTGACCGTGGGACCGGAGCAGTGTGCTCCACACGCTATGACAGTCACAGCTCCTGACTGTCCTAACAATAAAGAAAAATGCTGTGCTACATTTCTGGGTCGGACATGGGGATCTGAGCAGTATGGCCCTGCCTACTCCTCACAAACAGCCCAAACATAAAACAAGAACAGAACAAAGGAGAAGGCAAATTGGACCAGCAGCACACAGTTGAGGGCAGAGATGAAGCGAAATATAAAGTGCATCTCCTAAAGGATTCCAGGTGTGAGTCACCAAGGCTGGCTGACCCACAACTGTTCTATTAATAATTAGCATTAATGCCACAGGAATTCCAGGGCAGGGTTTGAAGTACAATTGCTTTGAGGAAACGTGTGTTGTAACAAATGAGAATAGAGACTCAGAGCAAAGCACTTCAGCGGCTAGACAGGAGTGAAGGGCAGGGGCAGGAACAGAGCCAGGAACCATATTTGAAGCCGCGCTACTTTCCAAAATCAAGTCCACTTGTTCAGTGTAATAGCAACAGGTTCACCACAATGAACACACAGCAACTCTGACAGAAGACTGAAGATACTTTTTAATAACCTTTTTGTTGTTCTTTTATCTTGTGGTTCTGGAGATTAAACCCAGGCCTTCACAGTGAGCTCAGCTATAATGTCAGCTTTTCATTTACTTAGTTATTTATTTATTTAAATTTTCAGACATGGTCCAGCTAAATTGCTAACTTGTCCAGGCTGGGGTTGAACTTGCAATCCTCCTGCCTCCGCCTCCCATAGGGCTGGGACTACAGATGTACCGGGCCCCACTTAAACATTGCATTTTCACAAGTTAATTACAGGAACAATAAAAATATCCTTACATTCTGAGAAGAGCCTTATAAAAGGGCCGTGTGAAGAAGGCATCCAACAAATACTGGTGTATTAACGCAAGGCCAAGGATCCTACCACTGAACCGGAACCTACGAAAGAAAAATACACAACAGTGTCCATGTCAGAGCAGTTTCTAAACATTGTTTGCGTTCTAGAACGGCCCCAGCTCTACCCATCCGTTTGTCCAGGTGAAGTGCAATGAGGCCGTGAGCTTTGTGTGCACTGCAGGCTGTGTCTTCATTAGTCGATAACGCACGTCTGCTTGCTGTAGAAACGTCTCCCTAATGAGACGCAGCTCCACCTTCAGCTACACTCCTGTCACCAGGCAGCATCCACATGTGATGACAGGAGTCCCCGTGAGCATTTTGATGACCTTTCCCTAAGCTGCCTTCATGAGATCCTGACAGGAGGAGACAGGTGGCAGGGAGCACGCCGTCCCCTCCAAATCTGCATGCATGAGCGCTGACTGGACTTCTCTAAGACAAACTCAGTCGCGATTCCCTTTTGAGAAAAGCCCCACTGCAGACTGAGTCAGTTTCAAACCCAGCTCGTGATGGTAACCACCACCATGCAAGAATTACGGGTGTGGACATTCGGGGGAGTTTCCTCCTGAGACATTCTGTTCTCCCAAATGTCAAAGTTCAATTCCACTCTGAATCAATTCACACTTCATTCTGCGTCCGTGCGCGGCCCCAGACGTATACACACTTGCTTTCTCTATGACAACTACGCACGTTTCCAGCTCTCGCAAGGGGGAGCCTTCCAGAAGCGCACACACGCCCTGGACGCAGGCTGTCGGTTTGTAACTTCAGTTGAGCAGCTGTTTTGCCATTAACACCCAGCAGCTTCCATGCTGTCCGTCTCACTTCTGACAGCACAACTGTGGAGCCGGAGGGAGGAGGACTCCAAACGGCGGGAACCGGAAGCTGACACCACGCTCCTGCTGGGACCACCAGCCCCTCCAGGTCACTGACCCTGCCCACTGCTCCCTGGCCACCTGTTAATCAGCGCTCCAGTGCTCAGACACCCAAAGGTGCCCGGAGGAATTAGGGCTCCTGCCAGGAATCTGGAACCATCTGTAGCTTGCAGGACAGCTTTGACCTCTGCCCAACTCAGTCCCAGACGATCTCTGTAGCACTGTCCATTCCCAGCCTGGAGACCGCCTGTCTAGCTCAACTTGACAACAAAACTTACAGTCAAATGAGGTATTTAACCAATAATGATCTGCTCCAAGCAAAATGATATTAAATGTGTGCTCCTACTAAAAACAGACAAACAGATATCACAGAAAACCAACTAAGATAAATTCTTACCACTCATGGTGATTGTCTACGAAGGCAGACATGGGGCTTATCTGTACTGTGTACGTGTCGTTGGCTGAATATTCAAACAAGCCATAATAGGGGTTAAAGAGCTCTCTGGATACCAGGAAGAAAAACTCTCTGGAAGGCCCACTGTAATCCAGCCTGTAAATAAATAAATAAAATAACAATCAGACTTTATTTCATTCCTAAATATTAGGAATATTTTCTCTGGAGCCCATCATACTAACCACAAGAGAATTGTTTATATGTCAGGGCTGCACCAAATAAACTGAACAAATTCCTGACTTCTCTACTACTACTTCTACTTGAGCCAACACAGCGAACTGGACATTTCCGGGCAATGCATCTAAAGTAAGCTACCAATCACCACCCACAAGACAGGCAAACGGCAATCTGGATGGACATAGGCAGGGCACAAAGCTGTGAAACACCACAAGTGAGATTGCGGGGGAAGGGGTTCCCAGGGGAAGCTGTGGGAATCAGCCACGGCCAGCCCGGGATGCGTGGCCTTCCTCGGGTTTTTGGAGCTTTTCTGTAAGAAGGAAGAAAGAAACTTCCATCATGGATCCAAAGGTCCCTCTGGAGATGAGGGCCAAAATACAGAATGGCAGGACAGAAGTAAATATTTTATGTCTTGAAACGTCCCACTAAGTTTTGGACAATGAACATGAGGGTGCAGAAAGTTTGCAAAGGAAGGTACTCAGAGAAGAGGCTGGAAGCCTGGCACCTGGACTATGCTGTGAATTCCACTTTACTCACACAGGCCTCAGGGTCCAGGTGAAGCAGAAGGGAAGAGCGCGTTAGGTTTGAGGAATGAAAAGTGGCCAACATGGCCAGGAGCAAAAGCCACAGTAAAGAGGAGTCTGCAACCAAGCAGCTGGATGTACTGAATTTAAGATGGGAACTATGGGGTACATTGACCTTATGCTAAAAAAGCACAGGCGATTCAGCGATCAGGAGGAAGGTCTGGGAGATAGAAACCAACTGTAAGTTGGGAAAAGGACTGCGGAAGTCTCCCCTCCCTCCCCTCCCCTCCCTCCCCTCCCTTTTCTCCCCTCTCTTCCTCTCCCCTCTCCCCTCCCCTCACCTGCCCTTCCAGTCCTCCCCTCTTCTCTCCTCCCTCCGCTCCTCTGCCCTCCTTTATTCTATGGCTATCAGTGCATCTGAAAGTGAAAAGGAGATCATCTGCGTGTCCCCAGTGATCCTGTGATGTTGAAAGCGGTCCCGCCATAGAGCAAGCTGGGATGTAGCCAGCAAGGCCCTTCCTTGAGGACAGAATCTGGCTTACGCAGTCCAGGCACCCATTACGCACATAGCCACTTCTCCGTGTTTGCCCTGTCTGAACACATACATGATATTATTTATTTAGTATCTTTCATCAAATCAACTCCAGATTTGTTTTTTCAACATAACCCTGCCTTGTACCACATCTATGAAGACGTGGTGCGCCAGCTCTACCTCTTGCAATACCCATGAAGAGAAAGGCAGGCGCCCTAGAGCCGAGCACTCGGCCTTCATGGTGCCCACACGGCGCAGCCGGGGAAGCTGCGGGTCAGCAAGCATTCATACAGCGGGCTCTGGCCACGGGCCTGCAGTGACACAGGGGACCTGGCCCGGGCCGCTGCTTAGCGCGCGGCCATCCTGTGGCCTGGACAGCGCGCCGTGAGGCTGTCAGGTGCTCCCTCGGGCTCCCTCACCGGTCGCGGTCTGGGCAGGCAGAACCGCTCTCCCACCTGAGCGCTCCTCACACACCCAGAATCTCTCTACCAACATCTGAGTGTGAAAATCTGCACAGAATGTTGTTGTTAGAATGGGAAATTCAGGCATTTTCTATGTCATCATACAATTTTGAAATTTAGTTTCTGCATCTTTTGGAAAACATGGTTACTGCAAAAATATGGAATATAGGTGACCTACTACTAGAACCGCATAAATAGCAAACTAGTATGCTTGGCTGACAACTCTAAAGATGTTACTTAGCTTTGTTTTTAAAATGTGCATGTATTTAACAATTTTATCATAGTATTGTCATGAAAAATAAATATACTTTCTTACATCTTAAAGAAAAAAATCCCAGTACCAGTTCTGTACTGCGCACGAAGCTAGACCTTCGAGACAGGACCGCTGGCGAGCAGCCACTCTCTAGAGTGACTCCAAGAGGAGCTGTGTGCAGGCCCCAGCCTGGGCTCCTCTGTTCCCCTCTAGCTTCCTCGCAGGCCCCCGGGGGATCTGGGCTGCCTCTGCCCCGGCCCTGTGGCTCTAGCACAGGGCTTGGAGTGCAGCTCTAGCTTGCTGCCGGCTTTCCTCTATCCTCAGGTTAAGCTCCCCAGCGTGTGCAGAAGCCACCTTGCTCTAGTGACCCATCATGAGCCCGTCTTGAGCTAAAGCCTCGGACCTTTGATTTACGCTGCTTTCATCCCAGACTCCTCATCTGTCTGCAGTAGCTTTACTGGAGGCAGACGAGCGAAGGCTACCCAGGACTGCATACCTCTCTGTGCTACGCATCACAGCCGGGCTGCACAGCCGGAATGGCAGTGAGCAAAGGCTTCTAGAAGCCCGTGTGGCCCCTTTTTTGCAAGCCGAAGACTGCAGCCAGGAGACACCCCTCAGGGAGTCGGCTGAGACTGCTGAACCCCAACTTTACTGTCTGTTGCCCTTCCTGCCTGTCCCTCAGGGAAATTTTAAATGTTTGCCGAGACTCACACCACACAGCTCCCGCATCACCGTCGTGCCCCACCCCCAGTTGGTAAATAGGGTTTTTACTGGGCACAGCTGTCCCCTGTCATGTGCTATCACTGCCTTTTCCTGCCAGGGTGGCAGAGGCGGAAGGCACCTCAGTGAGCCTGAGGCATTCACAGAAACATCCTGCCAGGGGCTGGGTGAGGGCGGGGGGGGGGGGGGGGGGGGACTAGGAAGGGGTGGTGTGTACCCGCAGCCCACGATGGATGTGTTCGAGATGGACTGTAAGCACACGGTAATGAGAGGATTAAAGGAAAGAGTAGGGGAAATGCTACTTTACTGAACAGCCCAGCTCTAGAAATCCTCTTCCTTAGAGCAGAGCCTTCTAGCAAACACACAGTGGCCACAGTGTCAGGAGGAGGGGGGCAGCCACCTCACAGAGAGGCCGCAGCCACCCATGCTCCTGCTCAGACCCTGCTGTGCACATCTGTCAGGCCGCTGGCTGGGGATTTGCCCATGCACCCAGGCTGCTGTGCTTCTCTGAGAGATGCAGCAGTTTTCTTACAGAAAATAGGTGTAACTATGGCCTGGGTTTAGGGTCAGGCTTTCTCTGGGTTTCCTCTGAAGGTTCAAATCCCGTTGCGCAGAGCACAGCCATGAGCACGATCGTCCCTGTGCCTGCCCATGCCCACGCTGAGAATGCAAGAGAACAGCAGCAGGCTTTGCTCGCATTCCCAGCCCAGGTCCAAGCTCAACACCCGAGCCCGGTCAAGGGTGAGGGCTCCCTTGTCCTCCCCCAGGAGGCCAGCTATCTGCTCAGCTCCTTGGAACACACACATGAACACACTGGATCAAGCAGGCCATGCACCGGCTCAGGGTCGCACGCTGGCCGTGCCCAGCCCGAAGAGACGGCTCGATTTGCAGTCAGAATCGCACAGGAAGAGTGTGTTTGGGAAGTTCGCTGCATAACATTTTCCAACGAGGTCTCCTTTGTTAAAACAGCAAAGACCATACTGACTGGTTCTTTCTCTGTGATAACAGGCCGATATGACTGATGATAACACGGAGTGTCCCTGAGGAGTTAAACTGAACAGTAACGTCCCTGGCAAGAGAGAACAAAGTGAGCGCTCCTGCTCCTCAGGAGGAAATGGCTCTTCACCTGGTCGGGCTCGTGAGGGATGTTAGCTGTAGACACACGGAAGGACTCACTCTAAAGCCAAGACAGACCTTTGACTGATCTGATTAGGGTCTGACGTTCAGGAGCGCCTACGGGACAACATGTATCTATCGTAGCTACAATTCCAATGTCTGCATGACGAGTCCAGCAAATTTAATACAACAAGCTGCAGCAGGGCACTTGCACGCGTGGTTGCTACGATGCCTTAGCAACCGCTTCCACATAAATAGTTCATGTGACTCATCGCAGGGGTGGCTGGCTCCATTCCTGTTCTGCCAGTTCCGTTGGTTCCACGGCTAAAGCCTTGGGGTGGTAATGCAGACGCTCTGGACAGTGGGTGTAACCATGGCACAGCTGCGCAGGCGGCGGGCAGCTCTGAGGACCGGCAGACCTCAGGGCGCCAGCTGTGGTCGAGCCCCAAGCTCAGGCCAAACTCTGCAAACACCGCACGTCCCTACGTTGGCACCCTGACCTGCCCCTTGTGCTGTCAGCAGCGATGGATACTTGTTCAGATAGTGAATTTTTTCTCTCTCCTTCCTTATTTTCAACTAAGGATGGCCGAAAACAAAGGAGCCTCAGGAAGGAGACACGGTGGGTGAGGACACCTGCAAGAAGGCACACTGTCACTTCCTGCAGGCAGGCTGGTTTGGGCCCACGTGGCCTTCGGGCCTTGAGATTGATCCGCAAATATTTGTTGCAGCAGGTATCGCACTAGCCACGTGGGCAGGCCCGGGAGGGACGTGGGATTTCCATGCGATAAGCACAGTGGCACTGTGCTTGCAGCCCACAGCCCAGAGCCAGAAGCACCCTTCTTTTGCAAAGTGCGGGCTATCTGGTTAGCCTCGGAACATCTCTTTTTGCTAGAAAACAAGTAGTATTTTAAGTTCAACTTGAAGCTTTGTGGGTTTCTGAGAAATTGATGGTCAAGCTCAGGATCCCACGCTTCTAAAGAAGCTGTATGCAGTCACACGCGAGGACCGCTGGGTCCCCTAGCATCTGGGAAGGGGCAGACTGCTTCAGGCCTCAGCCCTGCTCTCTTTTGCCTGGCTCAGGAGAGAAACGCATAAAGCCCTGACAGGAGGATGCTGAGGAGTCGTCGCACGGCCCACCCAAGCCGTCTGCATGCCTGTCCTGTCCCACCGCAGCTTTGAAAAGCACATGACTGGTATCACGTGGATGAGACCCCTTGCATATTGAGCACATCCACCCTTAAATAAAGGTGTGTTTTCCAGGGCAGCCATGAGCAGAGAGAGGCAGGGCCAGCGTGAACACCCCCTTGAGCCCG